TTATCATATTTTATTCAACATAAAAATAAAGTACTAAATACCAATAAAATAACTTCATAAACAATACAGAATGAAATTATATAATAAATGATGATATTAATTTATTAAAAGAATAAATAAATACAGGAAATAAAAGAGAGAAAAAGAAACACAAAATAAAAAATAAAGAGAAAAAAAAACAATAATATCATGAAATACATTAATTTTTACTAAGAATGAATAAATAACAAATAATAAAAAATAACAAAAAAGAAAATAAAATAATTGAGTTGTTAGATTAGAATTGAGAAAGAGTTAAACTATCTTTTCTTAAACTCCTCCTCGCGTTCCCCAGGAAACGTCATCAAAATTACATACTGCATAAATTGGAATAATGACATACATCATAGGTGTTAAAAGGAACCACACAACTGGAGCAACAACGTTAAATATAGAAAACCATTGACCATGAATAATGGCAGCAAACACAATAATAAACACCCACGACAACATAACCGAAAGTTCAAGCCAGTGCTTGTCAAAGAATCCTGAAACATTTTGAATAACTCCAATAATCATAAGAAAAACTAAAAATCCACCAATAATGGTTGATGCTTGAAACCAATATTCCATATCTTCAATCTTACTTGTTAGACTAAATGTTATAAGCAAGGCTAACCAGAGGACAAGAACTCCAATGCAAATAGCTTTATTTACTCCACAATCAGCAAAGATTTGAATAAACAACATAACAACAGCACAAGGAAGCATAAAAGAACTTAACAATTCAATAAACAAAGAGACCAACAAAGGAAGAACTACTGGTCTTCTAATTCTTTGTAACAAAATACCCATATTGACTATTGTAGAATTAATCCATCTTCTTCTTTGTTTAATAAGTCCAACTAAAGTAAATGGTGCGTCGGTATGTGCAACAGCCTTAGTTACATAACCTGTATCCCAACCTTTTTCTACTAAGAGTGTGGTTAGTGTTCTATCTTCTCCAAGATCCAACTGATTCTTTTCCCATATAGAAGTGGAAGTTGCTAAATATTCATTTAATACTGTTTCCATAGCTTGTGGTCGAATCATAGAAAAAGCACCTGGTAAGCAAGTGACCATTCCGAACCAATTTTCAAATGTCTTAGCTAAAAATTGATTTGATTTATATTCAAAATACTGACACATTGTTAATGGATTTTTATACCAATGCGCAACTTCAATTTCTCCACAAACACCTCCCATGGCTTCTCTTTTTAATAACCCATTATACATTTCCATTAATCCCCTTTCATTTCCTTCCCATGCAAATTCAACATCACTATCAACAAACATAATTGCTTTTGCTGTTTTACGAGTAATTCCTCTATCCATATAATCAAAAAAAACTTCATGAGAATGCCTTTTTCCTCCATTTTTCTTTTTCAATAATACAATCCAATTCATTCCACTTTCAAGAATTCCTTCATACACAGCCATTCCATCTTCTAATATTCTTGGATCTCCTTTTCCATCTTTAAATCTAATAACACCATCATCGTCTGCATAACTTTGGTCTCTTTCAACTCCACGAAGTCTACAAATAATGAATGAAGCTGTTTCTAGTTGTTGATAATCAATTTGCATATTTCTATCTCTTCTTCCATCAATAACGAAAATTAATTGACAATACTTTGGTTCAAATGGTAAAACACTAATTTCAAAACTTCTTATACCCCCTTCAACACCAGATGCATCTTCATGATGAACTGTCAAACAAACGCTAAGCAAAATTGGATGCTCATGTTCAACACTTTGTCCACATTCTGTACAATAATTTTGACCACCACAGTCACACCCACAAGAGGGACACTTAAACATTTCACTTGAAACATGCCATACTCGTTCTCCATCTTCTTCATCAACATCAGTTTTATTAATTGGTGGTGCACGGACATGAGGCTTACATTTTTGAAGTATAGACCCAAATAAAAATTTTGGAAGTGCTGAAAATATGATATAACATAAGAAAACTAATTGAACAGCAAGAGATGAAGCGGTTTGAACGAATACAATAAAAATAACGTTAATAGCAACGAAAATCCCAAACAGTTTCATTTTTTCTCGGTATGCTTCATATTTATTTCCATCAATAATTTCTATAACAGGGGGTTGTTCTAAAGCTTTAGCAGTTTCTTTTGTTTCTTTCGTTAAATTAACTTCTTGATCATCAGGAAGTAGTGAAGGAAACTCTTCAATTTCCTCTCCTTGATTACTCATTATTAAGTCTATGACTATTCATTTCAATTTATATTCATTAGAACAAATGTATCTTTCTCAAAAACGAAAAGATTACTTTCCTTGTTTTGGTGAGAATTTTTTTCTTTTTATTTAAATTTTATTATTTTATTTCAGAAAAACTTAAAAATTAAATCTACAAAGAATTAGTTTATGGTGTTTAATCTTTTTAGAATTAGTGCAGATTTGGTTCATCTCCTAAGTATATATTTCCTTTTAACAAAGATCATTAGTCATAAAAATTGTATAGGTTTGTTTTAATATTTTTAAATAGAAATAACATTTTTTTTTAAAATAAACAATAATAACTCTTAGGAATTTCATTAAGATCGCAGATATTATTTTTTATCGTATGGGTTACTCGATACTTAGATATTTTTTATAACTTTTATTCACTATATAATACCATTTTAAAAATCGTTTATTTAACAACTTCTGCATATACCATTTATTTAATTTCAAAACGCTTTAGAGCAACATATGATAAAATTCATGATACTTTGAATGTATGGTATTTAATTGTTCCTTGTATTGTACTAGCATTTATTTTTACTGAAGACTATTCTATCACAGAGATTTGTTGGACATTTTCTATTTTCCTTGAGGCAGTTGCCATTCTTCCACAAATCTTACTTCTTCGTTCAACTGGTGAAGTTGAAAATTTAAATTCTCAATACATTTTTTGTTTAGGTTTATATAGAGCACTTTATATTATTAATTGGATATACCGTTATGCAACAGAAGTATCATATTGGAGTCCATTAACATGGATTTGTGGTTCTATTCAAACCTTGTTATATGTCGAATATTTCTACTATTACATTAAAAGTAGAGTCGAAGGAACTAAATTCGTTTTGCCATAATTGAAATTTTTAGGATTTCATATTCTTTTTTCATGATTTATGTTGTTTTATTGAATTATAAAAATGAAATATACACATCACTCATAACACTAATTCAATTTACCCAGCTACTTAATACATCAAGAACATTTTTTACTTCGTTAGTGTCTGAAAACACATACCTTGCTTTTAACTTTTCAATTATTTGTTGTGCATATTGTAATATTTCCTGATCTTCCTTAATTTCATTTTGGTCTGTCCATTCAACTTCTAATAATCTCTCATTTTGTGGTACAATAACAGAGGGTTGTTGCTGTGGCAATTTGGTTGAAAAGATACTTTCCCTTGGAACTTTTGGGATTGATGATATTTCAATCTCTTTATTTATTTGAGGTTGTTTTTCTTGAACTTCATTGTCTAAGATATTTTTTTCACTTTTTTTTTCTGAAGGTAGAACAAATATAGTTGAATCATCTTGTTTCTTTGCTAAGATTTGAGGTTGTTTAGGAAGAGGGAGTGGTGATTTTGGTTTTTTTTCTTCAATAATTTTTTTGTCAGTGTCATTCCATCCGCACATTTCAGAAAGTTGAAGATAAGTGAATGGACATGGTAATTTTTCTTTTTTTCCAAATGCAGAAGATAATGTGATTAACTTAGTATTATTTGAAGGATAATTATAATTAATCAAATTGTGAAATTCTTCATACATTGGTTTTATTTCTTCATCTTTACAAGCCCATAAAGGAACAAAAGGATGGTCAACACTAAATAATTCTATTTGACATTTATTTCCCAATTCAGCGAGTTGAGAATCATAAACGTTACCTTTAATTTTATGAATATTCTTTTTCATAGTATAAAAAGGATTTAATAATTTAATTTGAGGGAATTGTAAATGTAAAAATATTTGTTCAATAACTTTTTGTGCATCAAGATTAAAAGGGAACATAGTGCGATAAATTAAATCAATAACAGATAATTTTTTTACAGAAAAAATATCTTTAAAATAGCGTTCTAAACGAGAGTTAGGAGGAAGATTTAATTTTTCGTCCATCATTTTAGAAAATGATAATAATCTTTCTTCAAGGAGAAGTTGTTTTTGGTTCTTTGACATGAAGAATTATAATCTTTTAATTCAAAAAGGGTTTAAAAAAAAATTAATGAATAAAAAATGTCTTTATTTAAGCGTAAAGGGTTGAAAAAGAATAAGACACTGATGGAAGTGAAAGACCCTTTAATGGAGTTGATGATTCTAGAAATGATAATAATTGATTAACTTGTTGTTTTTCTTGTTGTAGAATTAAAGAAATACAAGACAGGTGATTAAATTCACACTAAATAAATTAATAATAAGTTTAAAAATTCTTTTATTTTTGTTATTAAAGTAATTTAAAAATTAACAAACAAAAGTAAATAAAGCTGCACTTGATTTAGGTAATGTATAAGGTGGAAGTAATTCAGGAAAATTTGGTTTAATTTCTACAAATGAAGTTGATAATTGAGAAATAGTTTTTATTGTATCAACAGTATCAATAGTAATTACTTTATTAAATTGAAATACTGAATATAAAATATTAACTAAAGAAGTAGTATGTTCAATAGGAATTGATGAACCAGAAAATAAACAAAGAGAATTATAATATGAAATAAAACATGGATAATTATCAAAAAAGTATTGTTTTTTTTCAAGATGTTTTTCATTAACAATACTTTGAAAATATTCAATTGGTAATGAAAGTAATAATTCTTTCTTTTCACCTTCTAATTTAGGTTGAAATATTCCTTTAATAGGTGATATTTCAACTCCAAATATATAGTCTTCTGAATCATAATGACGTTCAGGAATTATATTTTCTTGACGTTGTAATAATGGATGGATCATATTAATGAAAGTTTTATTAATTCTTTTTAAGTTCAAATAATAAAAGATCAAATACTTCAATAATTATTTAATTTTACTAAGGTTACTATTGTTCCAAGTTAAAGGATCTATTGGAATAAATGAATAAATCAAAGGAAGATCAATATTATATAACATTATTTCTTTCCAATTATTATAAAAACCTCTATTATAATTTAATACTTTTGTATTTTCAGATAACAAAGCAATTAATTCAATTGTTGTATAATTGTTATAAATTAAATAGAAATAATAAATAAGATATAATCCCATTGCTATTGCTATTGCTATTGATATACCAAAAATACTACAACAACTTGCAACTGAAATTAAAGGAATGTCTTTCTAATTCTATTAATTCTTATGTTTATTTTAAATTACTTTTGTTAAATAACAAACAAATAAAGTATTATAATACAAATAACTTATCATCCCAATAAGATAAAGAGACCCTATAAAAAAATATATAATAGTATTAATAAATAAACGCATTGTATAATCTCCTATACAATTACAAATTAATAAACAATGATGATCATATCTTCCTATACATTGTTTACATGTAGAACAATGATGAACTCTTAACGGTTTAGATTTTTTACAATACTCACAATATCTTTCACCATATTGTTCAATATAATTAGGAAATAATTGATTATATAATAAAGTATTTTTTGAAGGAACAGAAATAATACAATTAATATAGAAATAAAATAATGAATAAATGACATACCAATGAAAAATAATATGGATTATTTGAATAAAAAAATTTATTTGATATAATGGAAATACAAACAAATAAAATAATATTATTACTCCACAAGTACTTCCTATTGTAATAATAATAATAAATGCATTAATATATTTTTGTTGTGTTGGAGATAATGGCATTTAACTTTTATTTATAATTAATAGTTTTTTTTAATGATAAAATCTAATTTCTATTCTTTTAGTTCCTAAATAAAAGGAACTGATTTACTACTGTATATGGATCAACAAGAAACAACTCAAACTAATTATTCAAGAGTTTCTAATGATGTATTAGAAGATATTACAACAACCTTAAATAAAGATTTGTTTAATGAACAATTTGATTTAAAAACATTTATAGGAAATATAACTTCATATTCTGTTCCAATGGATATTGAAAGTCGATATGAAAATAATATTAGAACGTATATTAAAATTTATATATTTATTTATTTTATTATTTTTATTCCTTCTCTCTTTATTGGTTCATGGAAATTCTTTATAATGGAATCTCTTTTCAATACTTTATTGTTCTTTTCTATTCCTAAATTAAAACATTCTTCTCTTTTTCAAATGAAACCAACTATTCTTTCTATTATTTATGTCTTTATTATATTCATTCTTTGCTTATTTACAAATAAATTATTCATTTGGTTATTATTTACAATAGCTGTATCTGGATCTACCTTACATTCTATCACAAGAATTCATATGGAAGAAGTACTTCTGACTTCCCTTTAAGATAAGTCATATTTTTTTTTGTTATTTCATTTATGTTATTTTAAAATAATAAAGAAATATGTTATATATTCAGTTTTTTTTACTTTAAAAAAAAAATTCATCATCAAAGAAATGTATTAAAATTTTACTATTATAAACTATAATTTAATTATAAATCTTTTTAGATAAAAATAAAATGGTATTTCAAGAAAGAATGATCTTAACTTAAAAACACTAAATGAGAGCCTTTTTAGCTTTATGCTTAATTGCCATTGCTTCTGCTAATGTTGTTTCAATAAGTACTGCTAACTTTAATGATTATGTTAAAGGAGAAAAACCAGTTTTTATTAAATTCTTTGCACCATGGTGTGGACATTGTAAGAGACTTGCTCCAATTTATGAAGAATTCTCAAATGTTGCAGCCACTGAATTCCCAAATTTAATTGTTGGTGAAGTTGATTGTACTCAAAACCAAGATATTTGTGAACATGTCCAAGGATATCCAACAGTTATCTTATACAAAGGTAATGAAAGTACTGAATTTGAAGGTCCAAGAACTGTTGAAGCTCTTAAAGAATTTATTGCTCAAAAAATTTAAACCAAAGGTTATGATTTAGTAAAGTATTGAAGTTTATATTTTTATATTTTTAATAAAATTTATTAACGTCATTAGTTAGTATTAAATTAAAAAATTCTCTTTAAGAACTGTAAATTTAATATAATATTTTTTTAATGCAAAACTTTTATTTGATCTCTTCTTCAAAAAATATATTTGATTTAAGCAAAGTACTCATTAGCATTGGCTCACTTGGTGATATTAGAATTGAAGAAGAAACACCAAATATATTACCTCGACATTGTTCATTAATTGTATGCGATAAAGATTGGGGAAGATGTGTTTGTAACTTAAGTGACTTAGCACCAGTTCTTGTCAATGGAGTTAAAGTAGAGACTAAACAAAACTTACACCATGGGGATGTGTTATCAGTTTGTGGGAAAGAATTTACATATTTAAAGAAGAAGGAAGAGACACGACCAAATACTCGTATTACAATTAAAATGAATGACCGTCCTTCATTAAAGCTTCAAATTAAAAGGAAAGAAGAAACTAAGCCAATCCCACCTTCATTTGATGATAATTTTTTAATTAAAAAAACAGTATGTCAAAAGAAAAAAAAATCTTTTAATAAACAACATAACGAAAAGTGTAGGACTTCTAAACTTGAAGAAATCACTTCAGAAAGTATTGATGATAAATCTAATGAACAAATCGTTTTTAATAACATTGACTATAATGATGAAGTATTTATATTTGATGATGACGATGATAATGTTGGAAAAACACAAAGTTGTAATACAAGTGGACTTGCAAATGATCAAACAATATTTTTTGCAAATAGTGATAATATTAGTGATGATGAACCATTTTACTTTGATTAATGTATTTGAATTGAATGATTTTTAAATATAAACAAAAAGAATGAAAATAAAATATTTAATAAATAATTTAATTTATCACATCTTAACACTTCTTGGAAGAAGAGTAAAATGATATACACCATCTTTTTCAACTAATCTACTAGTTCTTTGTGCAGCAGTTTTACCTGAACAAATAACTTCTTGAAGATCTTCGATCATTGAGGTATTAATATTAAAGAAACCATGATTAGCCCCATCAATATTTCGTTCAAGATCACCTGTATCTATAACATCAATATCATCTAATTTCTTTCCATTTAAATCTTTAAAGACTGAGACATTTTGACCTATTCTACTTCCTCTCATCATAAATTTACTTGACCTTAATGCCATATCTCGAGAGTCTGCATATAAAGAAACATGCTTGATATAAGGAATAAAGTCAGGATAATCATCAACAAATGTAGCTGCATCATAATCTCCAGACAATAATATTAAATTGTGAACTTCAAACAATCCATGATCTTTACAAAACTCTTCTGTTGGAGCAAATAATTCTTTTAACATTGAAAAACTTTGTAAGAAAAATCTTGTTCCTAAGGAATGTCCTAAGAAATGAATTTTCTTTATTTTTGTATTTCGAAGAGAATAAAGAAATCTCCGTAAATCCCTATGCACCGCATTATCACTAGAAACATTTGCTGCACAACAATACAAAAATGGATTGGAACATGATGGCCAACTAAATACAAATGGAATAATATGTTTTGGAAAATGTCCTAATGCAAGTAATTGACCTAGTCTCTTTAATGCATCCACTAATGTATGATTTAATCCATGAATGTATATTAACGCTTCTTTCCCTTCTTCTGCTATTGGCAACCAACGTTCATCAATCCCAATTTGACAGTTATCATAGTTTAATTTAATGTCATCAACATCCCCTTGGAATCCTGAGATTGAAAGATTGTTTAGAGAGTCAATAGCAACTGTAATAGTTTCAACTGGTTTATTATCATCAGAGTGTTTATAGTATAAAAATTGGTTATTTAAACATTGGCATGGACCTTGACATTGACATAACGTTGGTCCATTGATAAATCGACAACGTGGATATCCTAAATAAAAATTACCAGAAACATTACATTCAACGCCAGCAACTCCATAATGTAATGGCTTACGATGATTAGTGTATTTGCCTTGGGCGTCTGTAGCAAAAATAATACGTAAACTATGTAAAACATTTCTAGTCCCATTTTCAATTGATTCAAAAGGACCTACAGGCTCACCATGTTCAAACCATCCACTAACATATTCCCCTTGATAACTTGTATCAATCCAAAGTGATTCTCCTTCGACTAATCCTGAATATTTAGATTCTAAAACACATAAATGAGGACTACTAAAGAATTGGTCTTGTTGAATTTCATATCGTATTGTGTCTTCTTGTACAATTTTTCTAATTGACCCAGTCTCTCGTCTTATTTGACTAATATAAAACCTCTTTAAACGAAGTGAAGTTGAATAAATGAATAACGAAAATAAGCCAAACAAAACACAACAAAATAAATAAGGAACATAATACCCTGGTTGATAATACCATGAACAAATAAAAAAAATAATGGTAAAAAGATAAGCCTCAGTAGTGAGAATTCGATACTTCATTTGTAAACGAGGACCAAACAAAATACAAGCAATTGAAAGAACAGCCTCTAATAAATATTCAACAATAAATTTATTATGTCGTTTAAATAAAAATATTTGAAGCATTAAGTAAACCAAAAAGATAATTGCAATACTAATAGAATATAAAACACTGAAGGTTTTACTCGAATTTGTAAATGTCATTGTAATCTTTCTATTCCATTGTCTTTCTTTCATATGCCAATATGTGTGTAATACTCCAGCAATTTCTTGTGCATCTTTGTTTGGTTCTAATATAATAGAAACAGTAGTATCAGTAACAGGAACAGGAGAAGCTTTTGAACCAAAATTTTTAAATGAAGTTTTACTTTGATTGTCTTTTGACATAAAAAATAATAATAAAAACAATGAGATTATAAAAAGATAAAAAAAAATTTGATTTTTAGGATTATAATAACTCCTCTCATATTTCTTTTTAAGAGAGAAAATATAATGAGATTTAATCTTATCATAAAAAGAACTTATTTACATTAACTCAAAATAGTAGAATAAATGCTTGTAATTTGATCAACTTTTTACATTATTTCTCACATTGAATCAACAACAAGAAGAATTTTCTTGAATAGGTGAAATGGTAGTTATTTGGTTAGCCTCATTAAGTAAAGCAATCAACTTTTTATTTTGTAAAATCGATTCTGCTAAATCTTGGAATATCTCTTCAACGTTTTGTCCTGTTTTAGCACTACTTAAATAATGACGTGCTTTTCTTGTATTTGCAAATTGAATAGCACTTGATTCAAGGACCTTCATTTCTTTATCAATTTTATTACCAACAATAATAATTTCTGAGTTTGGTTGTTCATCACGATATTCTTCTATCCAGTAGTTTAACTATTTTATTATGTTATTTTTCTCCTTTTTATTATGTTATTTAAATAACAAACTTTTTCAAATGTTTCTAATTTATTTACATCATAAACAATAATACAACCATGAGTCCCTCTAAAATAACTACTTGTAACATTATGAAATCTTTCTTGTCCAGCGGTGTCCCAAATTTGTAATTTAACAGGAGTTTCTCCAATTTTTAGCTCTTTAAATTCAAAGTCAATACCAACTGTTGACATCATTTCTTCAAGAAACATTCCCTCACAATATCTTTTAACCAATGATGTTTTACCAACACTCGACTCTCCAATCATTAGTATTTTAAAAACATAATTAGGTTCTTGTGTCATAGATTATTTACTGTAAAGTTTCATAGTTCTTTCATTTTATTAAGAAGTTTCACAAAAAAAAAACTGTTTGAAAAGGTCTTTATGTGTCACTTAGTAAAAGAGTTATTCATTTTTTTTTCAGTATTTTAGTATATTAGGAAGTTTAAAAAATAAAATACTTAACTCTTTATTTCAAAAGATTCTTTAGAAAATTCCCCTTTGTTTTGAGAAAATAAATTAAAAATGGAATTTAAAAAATTTTTATAAAAAAAGAAAAATAGTAATTTGAAAAAAAAATGTAATTAAAAAAATTTATTCATATCCGTTATTATGATAAAGTGGTTTAATTGCTTTAATGAATTCTTTTAGTCGTTCATCAAATGAACTTATTTTACGATCATCTAATTCTATAGTTCCTCCTAAATCTATCATTTGGAAATATGACATAAATTTTTGACGTTTTACAGTATTTTGAATGAAACTTGCAATTCTAAATTGGGTTTTTTGATAAATATCTGGATATATAACAATAATAGCAAAGATTAATCGTTCTAATGTCCATGCTTCAAATTCATTAAATAAATTATCAAAAGCATTCATTATTATGTCAGGTATTAATCCTTGAAGTGCTTTTAATAATATTACACAATATTCGTTTGTACTTCGTTGATTATATGCAGAATATAATATTGATTCAATAGCTGAACTTCCAGTTACTATCCATAATACTTTTTTCTCTTTTAATGCTCTACAAGCAAACCTAAATATAAATTGAACTTTTTCACTTTCAAGTTGAAGTGAAACTACTTGTTCTGCCATTTTTTCACAATATTTTAATAATACTTCAAAAGTTTTTGGATAATTTAATGAATAATTTTCTATCATCATTGACAATGATGCTATAGCATTAATTAGCATAGTAACAGTATTGTCATTGTATAGTTTAAATGCTGCAAAATTAATGTGACTATTATCTAATAAGCAAACTGTCACTTTTATTGCAAGTGATGCATTTCTAATAAAATTATCAAATAACTCTCCTTTTGGAGTAGCAAGTAATTGTGTTTGTTGTTCTAAAGCATATTCAGAGAATTTAATAACAAGTTCAGCAATATAATGAAAAAGTCTACAGGCAGTTGGACATTCAGGTGCATAATTATATTTAAAATCTCTTGATACAGTAATTTGTTTTGCTAATTTTAATACAAAAAACCAATCATCTCCATTAATTGGTCCATTTATTGGATGTAAATAAACATCGTTATGAGCACAAATATGTTCAAAAATTGGTGGAATATTTTCTATACATGAATGAGAAGCTTTTACAATTGCTCTTATATCAACTAATTGAAATGGATGAGGTACTAAAAATTGTCTTAAAAATCCAACATGATATGATAATGGAATATTATATAATAATAACCCAAGACATTGGTAAAAAGCTGTTCTAAAATCTACCATTTCATTTAAAGGAAGTGAAACATTTTGTAATACACTAAAACAATCACTTTCAAATAAAAATTTTAAAGGAGGTAATTTAACAACTTTATTTGCATATTCATTAATAGAAACAATTTTTTTTAATACTTCAGTAATTTCCATTAATATTTTATAATTTCTACACCACATAGGAATTAATGTAAATATCATTTCAATTAAAGATAAATAATATCCAAATGCACTAGTTAAAGAATCTTGTCTGATAATAACCATTCCATCGTCTCTATAATTTTTACTTTCATCCCATAAATAACTTGATATATAATTTTTATAAAACATTAATATTGCCATTTGAACTTTAGACCTTGGAGTTTCTATATCTCTATCAAATAAGGATGAATTAATATTACTTATACATCCTTTACATATAAGATCTATCTTTTTTGAAAACATTGAATAAAGACAAACAGACTGAGAGTCAGTAGGATCTCTTCCTGCAATAATAGATGATGATAATATAATTAAATTCGAAAATATATTAAAATATATTTCTTCATTTGTTTTTGAAGCTTCAATTGTTTTAAATATTCTTTGAAATAACACAGAATCAGTTTGGTTTACGCTTTGGTTTTCAATAAATAAATTGATAAACGTTTCAAAAATACTAAAAGTTTCTCCAAGACATATTTTTGCTAAAACTCCAAAATGAAGAAAAGCACT